GGAGAGCTTAGAAAAAATCCTTCTTGAGAAGCATGTGCCCACAACAAATCGCAGAGGATAATAGGCCTCCAATGGGACGCAAAAGATATACTTACAATTACTCAGATAATCGCCGGGGGAGGCGGCCATGCGAATTTTGTGCAAGCGGGCACCGGTCAAATAGTTCGCTGATTTCATGCAGTGCGCTTGCAGAAATTTGAAAGAATGTTGGCCAATTTTTGAAGGAATGCTCGAAGAAGTATCGTGATTTTTCTATAGATTAGTTGCGGCGCAGTAGCCGCATTCTCGCGGAATGTTCGCGAGAATATGCAAAAATATTCAGGGCCGCACGGTCCTTTGTGAAGGATCCTACCTTCCGCTGAAAGAAGGTATTTCAGACTTGAGTAATTAAACCAACGGCGACACCTCTATCACACAGAGTTTTACCTGTGCTTGACGTAAGCCCGAAACTGCGTAAAAAGAGTCCGAGCGTTTGCTGACAGTTCGGCCAGCGTTTGTTGAAAGAGATTATTTGATGAGCGCCTGCAGAAAATTCCGTGTTGCTGCCCGCTGGCAGAATATGCGACAGCAAAGGAAGTGCCGCCCGCTGGAGGTTTGGCCACCTCCTAAAATTCTGCTAACCGCTTGCAGAAAAGCGCGAGTTTGCGGACCGCCTGCCCCCGGCGATTATCTGAGTAGATGCGACATTCCAAACGAAAAGATCCTAACAAAAAGATTGGTTGCACGTATATTGCCTACGATCCTTTAGGCTTGCTGGTTTCACTCATGATCAAGTTGAAAACTTTCCAGCAGGAGTTATGGAAACGCGGCAGTGGGGACGAAGAGATTCAAGGTAGTTTTAAGGAAAAGTGGAATTCGTTTAGAAAAGAAAGTAATGGATTCGAAAAGGCTCTAACGCGAATGGCAATCAACATTACGGAAGAATATAGATTAGCAGTTTTTGCGGATGCAAGCGACATGGCCATGGCAGCATGCAGTTACCTCTTCAACGAAAGTGTACATCACTGATTATGGCCAAATCGAAACTACCCTCTATCAAAGCGCATACCACTATACCGAAACTGGAGCTAAGCGCAATTACAATAGCGACTCGTCTTGCGTTTCGGTGTAAAGCAATCAAGACGAAAAATCATTTTCCTGAAAAGGTCCACATCTTTTCCGATTCACAAATTGCGCTGAGCTGGATATCATCACAATCTCATCGAACAAATCCAGGCGTTCTAGGTTCTAGTAACAAACAGGACCAATGAAATTTACGAGATTGTGGATAATTTCAACAAACAAGAAATATTCGTGCAAATTCATTACGTTGCTTCAGAAATCAATCCTGCTGGCGTGAGAACCCGAGGGATAAAAGCGAAGGAATGTAGGCCATTATTGGTGGGCTGGGCCTAGTTATTTGCGGTTGCCGGAAGAACAATGGCCAGCGTCACTTTACAAGTTACGAGAAAAAGTGCAAGAAAATCGAGACTCTATAACTACTCTAATAGTCAAGAAAGTGACACCACTTCCAGGAGGGTTTGCATGAGCCGCTGTTAGATCTAACAAGATTTTCGAGCTTCACTTCTGCTAACGAGCAGCTGCGATTGTGCTCATTTTCATCGAACGATCGATGCCTGGACTCAGTGAGAATTGCAATTTTTGAGAAGATCAAGCAGTTAAGAGACGTTTAGAATTGTCCAGTTCCTATTTTGGGAGAAACCATGCAGGCTGCTCGAATGATTATCGTTCAAGATAATCAGAAACGTTATCTTTCCACCGAGTGTAGAAGATCCATGGTCACCACCTTACGTCTATTCCACGATAATCACTCATTCTAGCGCTCACAAGGTCGGACTGGGAAATTCGTCACTTAGCGATCAAACGCAAAATCTTATCTTCATTGCTCCTAAGACACCGCTAGCTTCACTAATAATCAAAAAGGCGCATGGTATCTATCATAGGAGTGATATCTATCATACGATGATGACTGTCAGAACGCGCTATTAACGCCCACAATTACGCCAACAACTAAGACATCTTGTTCAAAAATGCGTGAACTGCAGACGCTACAACGCGCTTCCGAACTACTACCCTGACACAAGCAATATTCCGCAACGACGAGTACAAAGAAGTTGACCATTCCAAAATATAGGACTTGACTTTTTCGACCTGCCTACAGTCCACGAAAAAAACGAGGAAATCAAGCAATACGGGTGCATTTTTACCTGTGCTGTCACCCGCATAGTACATATGGAGTTAGTGAACAGTATGTCAACGGAAGACTTCTTGAATGCACTTCGACGTTTTAACGCACATAGAGGAATTCCCGAATCCATAACATGTGATAACGCGCCAACATTTCTGCTGATCGCTGCTTTCATGGAAGAAAGTTGCCAATATTCCTACATGAAAGCAAACGTAACGTACGCCACGAGCAACTTGGAAATAAAATGGCACCACATAACACCTTACACTCCATGGCAAGCATTCTACGAACGCCTCATCAAATGTATGTGGCAAAAACAATACTTCTCGAGAGAAACCGTAAAGAACATATAAGGAAACGACTTGGACAAGAAATTCCTACCGTAAGATCCGTAGTACTTATCAGCGATCCGATTTTACCGCGGAATGCATGGAAACTTGGACGTATAAGGAACTTCGACATGGATCAGAGGTACCATCCGAGAAGTTGAGTTGCTAATCAATAACAATCAAAAAATGGAAGACCAGTCAATTTCTTGATTCCTCTTGAGATCGATGATGAATCCACTCCAAGAGCAGTTGATGAATTATTATCTACACAATTGAACTGGAAAAACAAGACAGACCGAATGAGCCATACGACCTCAGACCAAGGCAACAAAGTTTTCAAGTGAAGAACGCTGTGATGACAACAAGAAAAAGAATTCTGCGCAACTCAAAAACGAAGTCGTTTCTATTCTACATCATGGTTCTGGTATGCACTATTCTTGCATGAAATATCTAAATTTATTATATGGCATATATATACTTTATATTGGAGCTGACATCTACTATAGTATCTATATATACTCTCTATATTGGCGTCGACATGTATATGCTATAAGAAGTTACGTTCACTATTGTGGCCGAGTGTATCGCGGATCGCGATCAGAAGAGATTACCATATAAAGACCGATGCTTATTGATGTAGAGTAGAAATGTGTTCGCAATATCGTATTGTTTGTTAATGACATTCTAGTATGTACTCTTAATTCCCAATTTGGGAATTCTTCATTCTTCTTCTCGTCTCAACCGTATAAAGCTGTACGACATTCGTGTGGACAGCAGTCAACGTACAATACACTGAACCGCCGATATAAGCGCTATAAACACCAACAAGACTTCGAAATTCGAACTTCCGATACTTTCCGATTCGGAGGGCTGCCAGGATCCTCCAAACACTCGCCGCTTCTTTTGCAGGCGTACTCCTGGAAGGCAATATTCACTTCGCGCATACCTCGCACTTACGTCGCACCTATCTTGCACATATGCTTGTTTCCTCTCCGGACAATCGCCTTATTTCTCGTGACGAATTAGGAAGGTTAGCCATATAAGCGAGTAAATGATTCCAAAAAAATGAAGATGCGGTGAAATAGACAATAAAATATGCAGCATGACAAAAAAACGCCTTCGATCGTGGCACACGTTAAAAGCTGATCATTTTTTCTTGAGCATGAGGTTTTAGATTTACACTTATTTTTGAAAATACACAGCTTCGGAGGACGGTTTGAAGTCATCTTTTTTTGCCTCTTAGCTGGTCATGTAAACAGCAATCATTTTCCTAAAGCATTGTCACTTTTTTGATGGGCACGTTACTTAACGAAATCAATTCGAAGATTTTACCAATCAAATTTTTTAAATTACTTTCTTACTGCTATTTTTGTTCACATTTTTCTTTTTCCAGAGTTCTTTGTAAAAAAAGGATTGCAAATCTGTTCGTCTCTATTTCCTTACTCAAAGTCTCCCTAATTTTCAAAAAGAGCGTTGTATTATAAATTGATACATTCAGTTAGCATTCAGTGCCCCTGTACTCACCTACACCTCCAATGGCCACAATCAGAAACACTTTTCTTGTCAATTTGCATATCTTATTGTTTATTTCACGGCATTGTCACTTTTTGGAATCATTTGCTCGTCGCTTGTTTGGCTGATCTTTCTTATTATGCCAGAAGAAATAAGGCGATCGTCCGGAGGGGAACCAACGCAGAAATGTGCGAGATAGGTGCAAGAGAGGCGCGAAGTAATGATTGTCTCCGAAGGGCGCTCCTGGAGAAGATGAGGCAGGCCTTTAGAGGATCCTGACACGCCGCCTTCCAATTCGCACAAAGCATTCTTACCAAGAAACCATTCTTACAAAGCAAGTGAGCATTTACAGCTTTAAGATATCAATTTGCATTTTGGGTGCAGCCTGGAGGGGGGGGGAGCTTTCAAAAACAAGAGTTATGAGATGATTCCAAAAAAAGAAAAAACTACGTATCAGTGCATTCAATGACACCGAATTTGCGTCCGTTGTTGGTTTATGAAGCTGCATTGACCGAATATAGTGTTTGACAGCATACAAAAATAATTGCAATAAATTAAGACGCCAAAGATGTTAAAAAATGCATTCGCTATTTGGTTTATTTTACCTATTTAGAAGGCCCCAGGAGTCTAAAATAATCTTGCAAATCTAGAGTTGGAGATGAAGTATAAACCACGGGTTTAAACTTCGGTGATTATTTTGCTTTTGTTGGCCCACAAATGCAACGGTTCAAAAACATGATTGAAATGAGAAAAAAGGCTACAGCGAAAATATCTGAAAATTTTTTTTCTATCTTTATTCGACCTGTTTTATGACAGGTCGAAATGCGGCACCTTTCGGCTAATCTAATGTTATATCAAAGATATGGAGAAAAAACTAAGTAACTAGTGTTATTCTTGTTTAGATTTTGGCACTGTGCATCGAGACAAATGTGAAATGTTACTTGCAAAAGCTCCTAAAAGATTTATTCAATATGCACTCCCTAAGGCGAAAGATTGGTGCATCGATGGAGATAAAAAGAAAAAGCAAAGAAGTGTTGCCAGTGTTGTTTACAACGGTTCAAAAAACCTATACTTCAGTAAGTTTTTCACCTCTTTTAGAGTCAAACGTTTACCTTTTCGTTTTCATGAAGCTATCATCTTTTTTTGAAGAATGGGTGTTCTGTCAGCAAACAAAGTAAAAGTATAACTAGCATCTCATTAATGCTAAATTCTAAATGATAACATCTCAAAAAAGGTCTAACGCGTTTGTAAAATTTGTAGCATTCATCATGTCTAATATGTCTACAACAAAATTTAATTGAAATCACGGCACGCACATTATATTACGGTTAAAAAATTCTGCGAATCTCTCTTATTTTGCAGTTTTTAGACTTATATACATAGATTTGACATTATCTTCGTGAATATGTGTAGCGAAAAGCATTTGCGCACAGATAAGACTTGATGCCAGTCTAATTTTTGGAAATATGTCGTTTGTAATTTTGGCGTCTTGTATAAATCAGTCTCTTAACAATCATTCCTGCATTCTTTCGTATCTCATTAATCTGGCAATTGCTATGCGTAAAACCTTCCGAGTTCTTCAATTCGAACACCTTCGAGCTCAACACCTCTAAAAAATTTTGTTTTATCAAGGTTCAAACCTTGAGCAGTTCATAGCCGACGTAATAAACTTGGAAGATCCCGTGATGGCGCGCTTCAGCTACGTTCGTCGTGTTTTCGACCCAGTCGGCCTCCCGACGTTCACAAACTTGAACGTTGCGGTTGAATTTGTAGACCTTAATGATTTACGCTCTTTAGGCGGACAAGTTGTACGTGGAAATCCAGCAACTTCAAGTCCTCAGGCAACTGTATTGAAAGTTCGCAGGAGCTTGCCAGATCAGCAATCACCCACGCCGCGAACTGCTCATTAAACCAATAATAGGCCCAGTGTTCAATTTCATATTCAATGAGTTCAAATGCAGACCTCAAACCTAAACCCAGAAAACACGTTGACTTTTCAAGCAAAACTAATTGCAAAACTGAGTCAGCAACACAACTAGAATTTCGAATAAAAACAATTAAAGCGTTCTACGCTAAATTTGGATAAAAGGGAGAAGGTGAATGATTTCCTATTTAGAATATAGAGTGTCTCTCGTGGTGCTTCTCCATCATTTCATAATAGCGAGGAAAAGCTCGCAACTCGCTCGCAATGCTGATTGTGTTATACCGTACTACAAACTACTTGCTATCCGCAAAGCGAATCCATGTTTAAACGGAGCTGTTCTCAAGCAGCACTATGCAAAAGAACAAAGCAAGAATTTTGCTTGAATGCTTACTCAAATTTACTCCGCTTTAACTTAGACTTATTTAAAAACATACACTGAAATTTACCGGAATTTTGAGAAAAGAAAAAAAGAGATGATGCATGAAAGATGAAGCTAGAAGAACTCCCCATCAGGAACGACCAACTTGCGACTGTTGAATCAAATTACGCATCTTTTTCCTTTACTTCGACATCTGCAAAGAAAAGTTTTTCTCAAGAAATGATGATTTTGGCACTGCTTACCAACTTTGCGGATGGAATTGAGCGTTGAGCAATGCTTTCTAGCTGCCCGAATCAAAGAATCATAATGTTCGGCAACAGTTGTATTCGTCTTATCCGCTCTCCTAAAAAGAAACAGACCTATAACTCTACAAATCAACAAATGAGAAAATGTAAAAGCAAATAAGAATAAAATGAAGCACTCAAAACCTAAACAGTGCAACAATAGACTACCTCAGCCTTGATTTCGTAGTTTCGGGTAGTTCGTTATAGTTTACATAACTCCACCCATATTGGCGGGATTCATCTAAAACAAGCATTAAGCTGCACGATTGCAAAGTTCATTAGCAATGCAGATTTTCTCAGTTTTGATGACTTGTTCCATAAAATCATGCGGTTTATAGGTGTAACCATTTTGGCTCTTAATCCAAGTCAATCAAGCATAATCTCCTTAGTTACTAGCACATGTTGTAGCGAGTAGATGTGTACTAGTCAGTGATGATTATAATACATGTTGCTGGAGTGATATGCTCTGTTGAATGCTCATGAAGTGAGCTACGCCAGAGCGGTGAATGAACTGCACCTGGAAATAGTGTAGGATTAGAAGTGTTTTCGATTTGGCGAAGAAACAGTGCACCGGACAAATTGTTTGAAGTATATGTGCGGGGGGAATCGGCCGCATCGCGGCTGAGAGTAACTGAAAGTTGATTGGAAACATCAATGTGAACTATATGGGTGAAATCGGCCGCATCGCGACCAAAAGCGGTGACCAACTGACCAGAGGGAACTGGTGCGTCGTTGTGGGTGAAATCGGCCGTAGCGAAAGTAAAAAGTAAAACAAAAAGGTAACTTAAAAAACAATGGTAAAAGAAATACGTAAAAATTTCAACCGTTTTCTGCTAGACGATTCATAATGAAGAGCGACGGGATCTGAAGCGAGTGTTGTAGCCATGTGAAACGGCAGAGGGTATTGGCATTTCTGGTTCAGGGAAAACAGTATACTCACGACCCGGAATGCTGACATCGGATGCTCCTACTGCGGTCAGCTCTGTTTGTTCTTGCTCTGGCACCCACGTGGAGGTGAACATTGGGCCCGACAACGCAAAGCATTTCTTAATCTGATTCATATGCCTTTTTGGGGAGAAGATTGCAGTGCGGAAACGCTAATGATAGTAAGGTGAGGTGGATCTACCGCAATCACGCGAAACTGCCTCAGCCAAGGATTGCATAATTTTTGCGATGATCCAATTTTAGGTGCAAAATCGCGTAGGAATGCCCTATTGCCTACCTGTGTTTTGATGGGATTGAGGTGGGAGCTATCATCGTGCCATGAAAGTGCGAACCCCTTGGAATCGCTGATCCAAATGTCACCAAAAAGGTCACCTGCCATTTTAGCCACCAGTACAAAGCCACAAAATTCCTCCTTGTTGGGCGACCAGATTGACACAGATCCATCCGCCATCATGCAGCTGCCTGATAGGTACTGGCAATTTCGGGTGTCCCCTATGGATGAGTCGGGGAAGTCAGAGCCGTAGCGCATGTGAATCTTGGTTTTAATGATGTAGCAATCGGATACGGTTTTAGTATGAGTAGCAGCAACCAAACGGAGCGGAAGGCCAGGTAAATTCTAGTTTGTTAGCTGTTGCCCAAGAGTCGCCGTTTTGCGTGAGGGAGCCATGTTGGCAGTTGTGGTGAGCTACCATGTACTGACACTTCTCAACGGTAACTATCTCGTACTTTTCTGAGTAACGTTCTGTGCGGGCGCCGAAGAAATTCACGGAATAATGCACAGTGCGGGAACAACTTTGCATAATGAAGCAGGAGTGTCGTAGCGTGTTTGAGCGAAATATTTGCACGGAAAGAGGTCTAGGTTTGGCGTTGGCCTGAGGGATGATATGAGAACAATTGCAAGACATTGAAAAGCGAGCTATGCCATCAGAATCGTCTTTTGGACACAGCCAAGCAGAGGTTGGTAAGGCGTTGGTGAGCGGTAAAAACAACGCCATAACTGAACACAGAAGTAAAAGACGAGCGTCAGCAACGAGTTTCTTATTGAGGACTTAGCTGCAGGAGAGGAAGCTTTTCCAAAAGTGGAATTAGCGAGTTCCTCGTTTCGTTTCATTAGAGCGGAGACACCCGCAGTGGAGTTATCGAGAGCTGCTTGAGTAGATTCAAGAGAAAGAGATAGTTTTTTGATTTGTTCACGAGCGCTTAAAAGTTCCTGGGAAGAGTCAGAAGGAATAACGTTCATGACCCGAGACGGAGTTGGACGAAAATCAGAAGGGTATGGCATACGATAACGGAAAGGCGGTACTTGCGCACCTCGGTGTTGCTGCCCTGCTATGCAATTTCGAAATACATGTCCAATCCGTCCGCAGGTATAGCATCGGGGTTGTGAGGGCATACTGCGTTAACTGCGGAAAAGTGGAGGAGGTGCGCCGTTACGTCGGTCCCTATCACCTGGAATTTGGCTAACTGGTCTACTCTGTTCCCGGAACTGGGTGCGAGAAGGATGATTACTCCCGTTCCGAATTGTGGCTGACTTGACTTCAACTTGGGCCCGGAAGGGGAGAGGGCTAGCAACCGGCGATTCCGCAAGTTGCTCCACCATTTGGGCGATATCCAAGGCGCGTGGAGGGTGGATGGATTAGCTGACTCTACCTGAAGCCTAATCTGAGGGTGAACACGCGCAACGAACTCTTCTAAGGCGCGAGCCTGCTGCATTGCCGCATCCTGGCCGGGTGTGGCAGCGCGCACCAACCTGAAATTCGATCTGCAAACGCCGAAGTTGTTTCTCCAAGTTCTTGCTTGCATTTAGCTAAAGCTCGTCGTGCCATATTTCAAAGGTGTGGTCCCTCGTAGTAACTCCTGAGATGGGCCACTACCGCGTCATAGTCCTCCCGTTGAGCGGGTGTCAGCTCCTCGATTTTCTCCCGAGCTGCACCATCAAGGAGGGCTATCAAATGAGAGGCCTTGAGCTTTAGAGATAGCGGGGTAGGGCGCGTGTTTTGGGTATCTTCAGAATGGCGCAACCATACTGAGAAAGGGGTAAGGTCTGCGCTATTCGCCCCTGCGAAGCAGGGAATTTTCGGTGCGGGTCACTCTGGAGTATAGGATGATACGTAAGGGATACGCTCGAGTCTTTGGCCAACCGCAGTAAGAGAATCGTTGAAGCCCTGAAGCAATGAGGTATTGACATCGTTTACTTGCTTGGCTGAGACTGTCGTTGCTGAACGGAATCCTTCCATGCATCCGTATCGCCTGTGCTGTAACATCGCGCAGTTCTTTAGCTTGCAACCCTTTGACTAACGACTCGTCTGAGAGATTAACTAAGGAGGATGCAACCTTAGTTGCGTACTCGCATAATTGTGTGGTTGAATTCGGGGCAGCCGCCCCAGAGTCAAAGGAATGAGTGCGGGCTCGTCTTACCGGACCCATAAGAGAGCGAGAGGATAAGACTTTGAGACACCAGAGGTGAAATGAATGAACTGGAGGCACCACTATCTTATATATGCATATGCCATGATGGAAGTATAAGGTGTGGACGGTGAGAAA